ATCCTCCAGTCTTCAGGCACCTCTCCCGTTCCCCGAGATCTTTCAAAGATGATAGAGAGCAGTTTAGCGATCATTTCCGCCAGCTCCTTTACACATAATTGATGGGTAAAAGACAGAAAACAGAGAGTAGAAGTGAAGGTTCAGTTTTCACAGTCAAGGAAGGTCACTTCCAATGGGGATTCTCTGGAGTGTTGTTTGTAACCTGTGCTATTTAATGTGTTTATAAATTACTTGGAAAAGGGGTAAATTGTGGAATCACAAGTTTTCTGATGTTACAGAGTTATTCAAGATAGTAAGAGCAAGGATTGCCTGTGAAGAAGGTTAATAAGTGGTTACTGAAATTCTGTACAGAAAAAGAAGAATGTGTTCATGAGAGGAAAAAGAAATAAAATTGTGGTCTCTGAGCTGATCATTACCACTTAGGAGGGTCGCACTGAGATTTGTAGGAAGATATGAAATTGACAGTTGAGTGCTTGTCTGGAGTCTAAAAAGCAGTTAAACCTTGGGATGTAACAGAAAATTAATAGACAACAAAATGGAAGTTACCATTATACCATAAATTCATGGTTCAGTTGCATCCTGAATTCTATGTGCTGTTCTGTTCCCCTCACATCATAAAGTCTTTACCAACTGAAAAAAAGTTGAGAGAAGAAGAGCAGCAAGAGCAGTCAAGGTAGCTTCTATACAAGAAATGGCTGAGCAGGCAAGGACTTCTCAGACTGGAAGACAGGCATACAAATGAAGGTTAACAAAAGCATGTGTGGAGACTATAAATAAGGACTGACTCTTCACAGTTCCTTCCATATGAGAACTGGGACTGCTAAATTAAAGTCGTATGAGCCAGGATGAAAACAAATAAAAGAAGCTGGATCTTCATGCAATAGACAGTGCTGTGGAACTCCTTGCCAGAGTGTCGCTGCTGAGAGTTTATAGGAGTCCAAGGGAAGTCTGGGCAAGTACTTGAGAGAGAGATCCATTGGAGGTTACTAAATAGACAAACTATAACTGGCTTAGTAAATGCCCTGAGCTGATAATAATCAGCAGCTGCAAGAGTGTTAAGGAGGAGTATCATATGTGTTTGCCCTGTTTTTTTTCTCCCCTGTGGACTCTGGGAGGGGAAGACCAAAACAAAACACCACACTACCCCAGAACACTGAACTAGATGAACTCTTGGTATGAACTGGTATGACTTTTATTTCCCAGCAAGCTTGGATGCTGTGGGACAGAAGAGCATGTAGTGTGCTCTTATATCTGTTTATATTCTAAAATTTCAAGTATTTTATGTAGTTTACTGATGTTAGGAAATTAATAGATTTCTCTGAAGCACAGTGTTCATTTACAACTGGAAAAACATTTATTTGAGTTACTCTGAATAAGAAATTGAGGATGGCAAGAAGCTACTCTTGCATATCTTTTAAGTTCTTTCCTGAGTGAGAAGATAAAAGAGTAGAACTGGTGTGTAAGAGCTAGATAGAGGGTAGAAGGATACTAGATAGTGGAAACTATTTTATGCTTATTTAGGAAATGTCATGTTTTAGAAACAGAGCTTAGTATTAAAGATACTTCATTATTTCGATCCAGATGTTTCAGATACTTGTAGCATTTGAGCAGATGAGCCTCCTAAATTGACTGTTTATGCTATTCAGTTCTGAGGTCTAGGAAAATGAGTATTTTCTTCCTTCAAAGATTTCTTGAACGGATAGATTTGTCCAGCTTATTTTTCCCCTGTAAAGGTAAGTGTCTGATTTTTGTCTTAAGCAACAACTTTTTCTTTTGTAGAAGGTGGCAGAGGCTGAGGATGACAGTGATAGTGATAGTGATGATGATGAAGATGATGTTCAAGTCACCATAGGGGATATTAAAACAGGAGCTCCACAGTATGGGTAAGTTATTTGCAAACATTAACTGAGGGAACTTTCAAGACTACATTTAATTATTAATTTAGGCTCTGTAATACTTGTCAATATCAAATTATATGCATAGTTAGTCTTAATTTCGTGTTTTTTCAGCTCTTTAACAATGTTTTTAATGATACAGTGACTTGAAAACAAAAAAGTTAAATAAAATCAATAAAATATTTTAAAGGAACAGCTGTTATATGAGTTAATTTTTGTTTTCAGATTTTGAGAAATAATTGTCTTAAGTTTGTAAAGTAGGGAGTTGTTTTCTGTTACGGAGTGGCCATGTTACACAGCATTTTTAGGGTTGTTATTGTGATGGTGACATTTTTGTTGCAAATGGTGAAGTGGCAAGAACAGAGAACATTAGAAACATTTGTCTGTGGTCCTGTTTGTAGTGGATACAGTTCTTATTAGACTTCTGAAGTTTCAATTTCTATTGATTTTCTCAAGTAAGATTTTAATGTACTTCAGGATGGAGCTGCCAGTTGCTGGAGATAATTTCTCAAGATTATGGTTTAGGCATTTGTACCATACAATAAATTTTTGTATACTGTTATTGCCTCATACTGTTTCTTATCTTGATAAAGGGCTTGTTTTTCACTGAACCTTTTTGAACAGTGTTAATTTTACCCAAAATTCTGAAATATTCTTTTTCATTACATGGAAGTTTTCTGAGCAAAGTGGTTTGCTTGTTTATCTTGGCAACCCTAATGTTTTTATGCTTGTTAAAACCAGAGTTACTAAGGTATCATTTCTTAATAGAATTATGACAGATCTGCAGGTAGGTCTGACTCACGGATATTATTGAGTTCTTAACTTTATAATGCAGGTGATTTATTCATTTTTGAAACATAAACATAATATTTTTAATCTTTCAGTTTTTCATATCCCAAACTAACTGCGCGAATCAGTGTAATATAAAAAATAGCAATTGTTTCATTTCTTTATTTGTCTGCTTTCAATAACTTTCAGTATGCTTGTGGTGTAGGCAGTGACCTCAAATTTTGTGAGACTAAAGCAAAACTAGGTTTATATTCTCAGTGGATTTGCTGGTGCTCTTTCCATGAATACAGAAAACAATGAGCAGATGATCCTAAATCTATTTAGAGTAGAAAGTTTTATGTAGAAATGGTTGTTTTATAAAAAAAAAAAAAAAAATTCTGGGTAAATTGGACAGAAGGGCAGTAGTCTAAAACAAACCCAACACTGCTGTTCATTTTCATTTCAGTATAACAAGTTCCTTTTACAGGACTAAATGATTTTTCATATAGTAGTCAACTGCTGTTCAAAAAACCCCAAACTGTAAGATTTGTTTGACAGTCATGCACAAATACAGCGTGGCAGATCAGAAGGTTAAATGTTTTGTGCCATTTTGTACAGTTGTAGCACTTGAATGAAAACTAAAACTGCATGGAAGTGGTACTGTAAACTATACACTGCCTTCTGATTATATTGTAATCTCTTTATGTTTATGGGTTGATACTGCCTGTGAGGGTAAGCTACATTGCATGCAAAAGGTAGTGAAAGCTAGCTCTTAATGTTCCAAATTAACAATACTGTAATTCCTAAGGTAGATAAATCAGTTCAGTATCTAGATTTCTTGAGTGCATTTTTATGAAGAAAGCTCTCCAGTGTCTTAGAAAGTGAAATGTTAAATACTTTTCTGTTGGCCACAAGGATAGGTGATTGCTAGAAGTACATTGAAACAGACAGCCTTTCAGTCATTGTAGAGAAATGATTGTATTTTCCACTTCTGTACAGTTTAGATGGAATAATTGTGAAAAGAGAAAAGGATCTGTCTAAACCCTTTTTTTTAATTATTTTTTTTTACTCTAATCCCCAGAGTGTCATCTGGATCCCTAAATGAACTGCATTTTTCCTTTCTCTTTTCTTCTGGTTCTGTCCATTCTTGTTTCTATCAAGGTCTTTATCCTTTCAACTCAGGAAGAGTGACTGGGACTTGCTTCACAACTGTTTATTAGTTGGAGAAGTTGCTACTGAGCATAGAAAGGTACACTCTCTTCCTCCTAGGCTGATCTCTTTACTTTTACAGTGTTACCAGCTTGGAAAACTAGAGATTCAGGATGGCGATTGAGCCTGGGTCCAGTTTGTTTCTGGATCTAGCTAACTCTTGTTTTGTGTTTTCTTCTGTTTTAAGAGTTTTCTCTGTCTAATTCAGTTTTGTTAATTTCTTTAAGTTATGGAGCAGCACCTGTGAATCTCAATATTAAGACAGGAGGACGAGCTTATGGATCTTCTGGTAAGAAAATTTGTCCAGTAATATTATTAAAAATGCAAAAGATGTTTGTTTTGGATGAAGGAAATAATTTTCACTTCCAAAACTTCTTGATAAATTTAAATCTGCTTTTTTATTTTTTTTTAAGTGTGTTACAACTGTTAAAACTCTTGTTGGTAGAGACAGAAAGATCTTTAACTTTCTAACTTTTCTTCACAGGTGCAAAAGTTAAAGGGGTGGATCTAGATGCACCAGGAAGTATTAATGGTGTGCCCCTTCTGGAAGTAGATTTAGATTCTTTTGAAGATAAACCTTGGAGAAAGCCAGGTAATGCTCTGGTTTAACTGATTATATAGGTATTTAGTAGGTTATTTAAATAATTCCCATTTACTGCATGTAGATGTTATTGACCTGATGGTTAGAAAATACTGTGCAATATAACTTGGAAAAAGTAGCCAAATTACTTGTTGCCTTTGTGCTGTGCCACAGAGTATGTGAGTAGGCCATGTTTCTTAGTATACATCCTGCACATACGTCAGCAAAAAGAGACTGTAGGACTTGCCCTTTATTTTTTTTTTAATTCATGTGTATCCTGAACTCTCCTTGGAAATCTGTATTTCTGTGGAGATTACTGCCACTGTTCTGTGCCGTAGGACAGAAAGTAAAACAGAATGGAAAGTAGCAGGTTTGAGCATGAACAGTGGTGAAACGTAGCTGCTTGTCCTTCTTTGTGTTCACATGTAGACATCCATAAGCTTTGAGGACGAAGCTGGTACCACATGGACTTTCCATAAGTCTCCTGTGTGTATTGTCTGGTTGGCTCAAGTGATTTGGCCAAACTTGTCTAATACCAGTGTTGGTTGTTTTTTTTAGTGGCAATCCGTCTTGCTGCTGTGTATAGGTTTTTTTCCTTTGTTTGCATATTGCTTTGACAATGCAAATAATCTCCACAAAATGGAAAAAAGAAGCCTTTGAAAATATTTTGCTGTTTGAACTGTTAACTATTTGAAATATATTCTGTGCATTTAAGTTGTGTCTGGTCTCTCTTGTAAAAATACTTTGAAATACTTTGTGGCATCAAATTAAAATAGGAGTCAAAACAAAACGAGGAGTCAAATACAGAACAAGCAGAAGGGAGTGGTTCTTCACTGAACATACAGCAAACCTGTAGATCTTACATTTATCCTATTGTAAAGATACAGGGATTATAATATCCTATGGTATTCTCTAAGTATCTACTCTTGATCCCTGAGACAGGATGCTAGGCAAGATACTTTTTCTGACTAAATTGTAATGTTTTTATAGTCGTAGCCATGAATACTCTTATGTTTACTGATGTAAGACTGTATTGTCCATTTCAGTAGTATGTTTTTAGATCAGTACCTAATCCATTTTGATGTTTTAAATAGAGTTATATGAATGTTCAGTGAAGAAAAGAGGAACTTCGTAATGTCCTAAAAACATATGCTTTTATATTTAAAGGGGCTGATCTCTCTGATTATTTCAACTATGGGTTCAATGAAGATACCTGGAAAGCTTACTGTGAAAAACAAAAGAGAATACGAATGGGTCTTGAAATTTTACCAGTTACCTCAACCACAAACAAAATTACGGTAATTAGTACAACTTTTGTGGTATTCTACGTGCTTTTTTTCCCTGTAAAGCTGCTTGTGTGTCATAAGCTTGTTCTGCCCAGTTGAGTGCGTTTGTTAGCGTTTGCACCCGACTCCCCACCCTGAGCCTAGAGTGTTCCTCTTTTGCTTCACTGACAATTTGTGTGGATAGTGTGACAGACTTAGCTACAACTAGATTGCCTCTGTACCATTATTCAGATTGTGGCCCATCACTTGAGAGTTGTATGGTATCTTAATGGGCAATGTGTTATTTAACTTAGGCTGAAGACAATGCTATGGAAGTAAGACCAAGTGCAGAGATTCTCGATGGCAGATACCATCTTTTTAAGGTGAATCTTAGTAAACTTTTGTTGGTTGCTCTCATTTTTGTTGATTATTGCTTCCCATGCCGCTACAGACGGATAGAAGAACAACTGAAATGACATAGCCATTATTTCAGACTCTCATCTTACATCAGTGACTTTCTACGTGTATCACAAAATGCTGATTAAAAAGTGTTGCTTTGTTCGTCACCCCTCTGCAAGCATGTGAGTTAGTGGCCTGGTAAACTAACAAATTTCGCAGGGAAACTAATTTTTCTTTATGTGATGGTTTATTTTTAGCTGTAGTGCATTTATTTGTGCAGATTACAGAATCTGTGCAGATGTGCTGGGGAAGCTTTTGTAGATTATGGCATGTTTATTTTTCCTGTAGCCCTGTAGCTCTTACTGTGTTTTGTAATACTTATCTTTGACAACCCCGAGATGTGAAAATCAATCTTCCATATTTTTCTGTTGTCCTTTTGGGATTAGATAGCAATACATCAAGTTATATATAATATATTTTTCATTTTGGAAATGAAAAATGATTTTCAGAGAGCAGAAGTTACGACAGGATTTATCTTAAGGATTGAACAATTTTTTCAACTTCTTATTTGCTCATTTACTCTTTCATTTGATAGTAAAGTTGAAATTAAAATACAAAGGTTATTTATTTTGCTTATTTTCAATATGCAATCATTTTTGTTCTTAAACTGTCATTAAACTGACTTGGAACTGTTTGTAGCTTTCTTCTCTATACTTCTGTGACAGAAGTCACAGTCAGTTTCAGATGGGTATTTTTGCTTCCCCTCGTGTACTACTTGAAGGTATCCAGACATTTTGATTATATATTCGCAAGAACAGATGACAAGCTCCCCGAGGCTTTTTGCCTTCCTCAATTACCATTATTAATAGTGTTATGGAATGGTGGAAATGGTGGGCCATAGGAATTAAGATTTGCAGCTGACTACACTCAGACTTCTCTGAACTCTTGGCCTGAAGGAAGAAGTATTCCAAACCAAAGCTTCCTCTGTTTCTAGCTCAGTATTTACTCTCTGGGGTTCCAGTGATCAAACAGTACAGATAATAATTATGTTGTAAGAGTCTGAAGTAAGAGTTTGTCACGTGTTTTACAAGGAGTAATTTAATTAAATTTTTTTCCACTCTTCTGAAATACTCATGTAATTTACATGGTATGTTTGGATTAGTCTTCTGTGACTGACAAGACTCTGTCTCCTATATTTTCCAGTTATTAATTAATATAAGATTTTTCATATAAATACTTAAATGAATCATATTCAGGTTTTTTGTTTTGGGGCTTTTTTGTATTTCTGGATACTAAGGCTTGATTAAATTTTTGACAAATCTTAACTATTTATGTGCATTTTTGTGTGTTTGAGAAAGAGGTGCCTGTGTTTAGAAGCAGCTGTGAGATCACAGTCTATATAATGTTATACCATGAGTGACTAGCTATATAGAGTGGTATAACTATGTGGTTGGTACAGTGGGAATGTCTATAAAAACTGAATCAATAGGTTTTTCTTTTGTGTGTAATGTGCTGCTGAAGTCAAACAATACTTGAAGTACTTGCACAAAAAGTCTTGTGTAGCTGTAATAACGGGTCTCTGGAATTTTACAGTACTTCAGGAACAGCAGTATGTTTTTGAAGTATTCAATCTGAACTAATGAAAAATCTTTTTAAGTTTGCATAACCCAGAGTACGAAGTGACTTCCTATTATGGCTCGGAAATTAAGTGGTTACTAGATCTCATGGTCAGTAAGGCCGAGAACCCACTCAGTTTCTTGTCTGATGGTTTGTTGTTGAGTAGCAGACTTGTTAAGATATCTTTGTTGTTAAGATTATAAAGATTTTTATTTTTTCTAAGGAGTTTACTTCTTTTAAAAAGGAAAATGTAGTTTTGTTCATTCAGGAAAGTTTACAAGAAAATCAGTTTGGTCTGTTCATGTCCAAATCAAATGCTTGGAAAATAAATATTAAAACTGTCTAATCTTCTGTAATAATTTGTTTTCTGGCTTATTACTTCTTATATATATATTAAACACAGTACTTAAGTATTATATCCTTATAAAATATGGGATTTTACTAGCTGTGCAAAGGTGAAAGTTTTTAAAAAACCTGATTAAAGTTGGACTTATTTTCTATTTGTGTTGGCTATGTGTTATGTTGAGTGTTGGGGCTACTACGCTTCTGAGTTTAAACTAATGATGAAACATTATTTTGAAGGTACAGCAGGGCAGAACTGGAAATTTGGAGAAAGAGTTGGCAGTGCAGTCGACCAAAGCTGATTTCACATCTCCTCCTGCCTTATTCAAATCAGGAATTCCAACAAACAGGTCAGTTAGACAGTTTTAACTCAAGACCAAAAAACTTCTTATACTGTTTTCTCTGTGTATTTGAAGTTCATGATTTTTGTAGGAAAAAAAGGAAAATATGTTTCTGTAACAGCTAGAAATAAGGGGAAGAGAGATCCTAATCACTTCTAGCCTTCAGTCACCATTACCCATGAATACTGTCCTGCCTTCTTGGCTATTCGGGAAAGTAGAAGGAAAAGGGATCAAAACCAACAGGACCAAATAATAAAGCAGCTATAAAAATCCAAATGTTGATTTATGACACCATATTTTTTGTGTAGAATTAGATTGGCCAACAAAATGTTTCTAGCTAATGTCTTTATTGGTATTAGCTGACAAACCTTTTCACTTAAGACAGAATCAGACAGCCATGACTTCAACTGGAAAGATTCCTTGAACCCAGTCTCTTTCCTGAAAGGTAGCTTTAGCTTCTCCATATTTGAGTATTTTACTCTACTTCCTTTGAAATGAGAGAAATTATTTCCTTACTAGGGTTTCTTCCCCTCCTTTTCCCAGGCCTAGGATTTAATAAGGTCTGTCCTTCATATCTAAGCTACTGTTTGATACCTGGCACTTGGTTTAGGATGAATCCATGCTTCAAATTCAGTTATCAAGTGATCCTGTTCAAGAGCTTTGGTTCTGTGCAAATTAAAGCCTTTGTTTTATACATGATGGTAAGAGAGGTAGAGCGGGTTGTACACTTTCGTCATCAACAGTTAAAAGATTAGCATCTATGCCTTGTCTTTTGTGCTGCATCCATAGGTGCCTTGACTAATTCAGAAGCACTTACGTTCAATTATTCCATGCTTTAAGGGTCAGTTCAACATCCAAATACATTTCTCTTGAGTGGAAAGAAAAATCTTGCTTGATATTCTTGCCTGTATTTTTCTTTCACTCGTAGAATTTTCCGCCTGGCAGCCTAAATTCTTCTCTGAGATATCAGGTTGTACTGCTCTGTTTTTAGTAGATTTTAGTTCATTTTTTTTCAATTTTTCTTTGTCTAAGAAATAGTAAAAGTCTTCCAAACTTTGTACCAACCCTGTAATTATTTTTTTACTTTTCTTTGCTAAATTGCTTCTGATGTGTGATGTTCTTGTAACAGAGTTTTCAAAATACTGTTCACAGGGTAAGGATTCCAAATCTTTATCTAGTACAGGTTTTGTTACAGGTTTTCAATTCTTTGTGCATTTCATTGGTGGACACAAAATCTCTAAATACTTCAGAAAGTAGTTAATTACCAGGATTTTAAAATGTAGTTAAATTTAAAGTTGTAGAAAAAATATGTTGTGTAAATTCTGTGAAATTTGCATTTGTTGTGAAAAAGCTTAATACAAGAAGGTTATACATGGTGTAGGCTTCATAAGTAAAATCTTTGTTGTATGCTCTAGGTAAGAAAAATCTCTTGCCATAGATGTCTTTATACCATATTTTTATGTGATACTTTAGTTTTTCTGCCTGAAGTTAGCAAACCCAAGTTTGAGTGACTATCTTTCTGGTTTTTAAAGGTTTAAAATTAGCATGTTTGTCACTAATCAGAGCTTTCCTGAAAAACCTCAGGCATGTCTGTTTTCTCCAGGAACTAAGTTTACCTGACATATAAGCCCATATATCTTTAAGAAAGGGAAGCCAGTAAGTGAAGTTGGTGTGTTGTGTAGATAAAGAGGAAATAAAACGTTATATTTCCATTTGTATCACTTGTGATTCCAGTGGTTAGAATAGGTTGGTTTATATATATTTACTGTGAATACCATAATTTTAAGTTGTTACAATGGCAAAACTGACTTCTTTCCATATTTAATACCTGCTCCTCTGGATATGTTTGCTTAAAATAAATTCTTGTGTGAAGAAAAAGTTATTTCTACCAAGTGATCAGAAGAGATTTCAAAATAACATTGTATGCTTAAATGTCTGAGAGTGGCTCAGTGAATGAATACCTCTTAACTGTATGGACTATATATAAGTCTACTTGAATGACTTCTCTGGAATGCAGCTACTATTTTCTGTATATTAAAAACCTGTATTACTGATTTCTTGATAACCACGCAGTTTTATATGATTGGATTTTTTTTTCTTTAATTAAAGAGTTAATTTTAGGTAGGCAGAAAATTTTTAGCAGTCCAGCTCTTTGATAATTTAAAATAAATGCTTTCATGCCATGAGGCATTTGCGATAGCTTTGTTGTGAAATTGCTGGAAGCATTTCTCATGTAGCAGTTAAAACTTCTCTTGGCTTCTACTGATGCATTTGGTGAAAAGGAGGGAAAACTGATGCAACTGGATATTGCAGTATTGGTGTGGGAATTGGTAAGGAGCTGGGCATGAAGAGAAGAGGAACTCAAAGAGCAGAAAAGGTAGGAACACAAGAAAAGAAAGACTTAGGAATTTTATCTCACCAGAATAGCACCTCTTCTCAGTCACAGATAAGCATTGCCCCCGGAAAAGCCAGTTCAGGCATCAGAAAGTGGCAGGAACAATATAGGAGGGACAAATCACTGGAATTAATGTGGGGGCAGGAATCAGGGCATGATCCTAATTTAACATTTGAATTCTTCATTTACTAGTCAGGGCTGCAACATTGCTTTGTGGATTATTTTACACATAGATATTGCAGCACATATTTCTCTTTAATGGGGAATCTGAGGAAAGATAGTAGGTTTTACCTTTTTTCATTTGTTTGCAAATAAACATTAACGTGATTTTGTGACTACTGTTTTTACCTTTTTAGTTTGAATACAGTAGATGTTTCCATATGATTGCAGTTGAAATTCTAAAAAAAAAAAAAAATCCCTGAAGCCTAGCAAGAATATTACTCATTACCAGTATGGAGGTTGTAGTTTACAAAATAGAAACAGAATTATTGATTACCAGCAAATAAAAGTTACTACTTCACTAGAAGTAGTGAATAAATATTTAATTCAAAGCAAAATTCAGTGCTTGTTCATATAACTTGTCTGTGTGAGGAATTTTGCTTAAATTTGTAAACAGTTACTGTCTTAAATCATAGCTGAGCTATTAGTTGCTTAGAAATTACACCAGAACCTCTTGTCTTGATTCTGTGGTATTTAGGGCTGTTGAATAGCATAAAGTGTGTAACCCCGAAGGAGGAGCTAGAACATAATGGAAATGGTTTATTAGAAAATACACTTCATATACAAACAATATGATATAAAATAGAATGCTTGTTCTCTAGAGGTAGTTAATTGAGTGTGTGCAGTGTGTGCATAGCCACAATTAAGGGAAAAACCTGAAGCAATCTGTCTTTGAGTATAGTGCTTTCTAGAACATGAAGAGGATTTGATGTAACCAGCCAGGTCATGGAGATACCTTACTGGTTTTTTAGACAAGTGCTTTTCCTTATGTCATTTTTCAAGGACTGTGAGGTAGTATTTCTTTAGTAACAGAGAAATAATCAGAAGTTTCATTTACAAGCTGGATGCAAAAATGGTATTTTTTTAATTCCAGCAGTATCTAGAATAGCTCTCCATCACAAAAATTTGTTATGTCAGAAGCTCTTAGTTTTTTAATCTCCATTTATGCTTTTTGGGTTATTACTGAAGAGTACATTACATTTAAATGAATTTTGCTTTCAGAGAAATTAGCCTGTCAGTGTGATGGCTATTTATCAACTTCTTCTGTGCTAAGGACTTTCTGTAAACAGAATTTTTATAGAAAATGGATTTATGATATGTCATTACTATGGAAAAAATACAAGTTTCTCTTGTTTCATGAGCTAGCCTTGCGAGACTAAATGATGAAAACTCATATTGTTTTGAAAAAAAAGTCTATTTCGTATATCAATTATTTCTGTATTAAATTTGTTTGCTGCTTAATTGTATCAATTAGTGGTAAGTGAGCTCAGCAAAGTTGAGGCTATCCTCAAGAGGAGGAAAACAAAGGTTAAAACACGTAAGCAAGACAAGAAGGAACACAAGAACATATTAAATCCAGTTTTTTAAGTATTCTATAATTCTTAGACTAGACTAGACTGTAAGTCTAGTTAATAAATGTGGCATCCACAAGTTAGACTGTTCCTGAATTGTGAAAAGTTGGGGAGGTGGGTTTCCAAAAAGCAGTTCAATATTTATATTACTTGTGGTGGGGATAAGTGATTTCTGAAGGTGTGAATTTGGAAAATAATTGGTTTTGTCTTTTTTTTTCTTCTTCTTTTTTTCCTCCCTTTCCCTCTGCTCTATAGAACCTAAATGAACTCAGCTTGCCAAATTAAACTGAGATATCTTTCTGAATTAAATCTCCATGGAGGGTGGTACTCATAGTGCAAATAGCTCGTAAATAACCATTCTCTAACTAGAATGAAATCACTCACTGAGTTGCTGGAATGTTCCTTTCAAGCTACACTTTGTATGAACTCCACAGCGGGTTCATGTGCACCCCACACGCGTGGATTGCCTTTTTATGTTTGGGTGTATCCATGGGAATGCATCTGTATTGCAGGTGCCCTGGTCATGTAAGGGACAAACCAAACCCTTTCTTTTCTTTGCATACAGCACTGAAACAGAAAAATAGTAGTGCCTGCTTAACATCTTATCACTAAGCTAGATAAAGACTGGGGAGTCTTTGAAATTTCCCCGTGTGCCAGCTTGCTATAACTTAATCAAGATCCGAGGCTTCAGATTTGCCCCTTTTACAAAACTGCTGAACTGAAGCTCTGGACACTTTAGATACCTCTCTTGCCTCTGTGAAGATTGTGGTTTTGACAGTGGAGTCGTCTGCTGTGCCGTTTGCAACTGAACATATGCTTTCTCTTGTTCAATTTCAAGCTCTTTTAGAGAGCTTGAAATTGAAATAGAATTATTCTGTTGGAAATGGGGAATTTGTAAGGTTCAAGTGATGATGGCAAATTCTTGAACTCATCCATCACAAAAATTAAATCTCTTGGCAGCTGTTGGGAAGAACAATGGACATACCACTATAAAACATTATTAAAAAAATAATTACAAAGCACCAGCTCAGCAAGAATGAGTGAGCATAGGTGTACTCTTCAGACTCTAGAAAAATTAAGTGAAAGCCCTGCTAATTAAGTTGATATCTAGGAACCAACTGGTAGTCTAGATTTGATTCCTTTGATAATGCAGTGTTGTATTTGGGCTGCTTCCCAAGCCAAAATTGGTATTATTGTAGTATGGCTGATGCACATATATATTTGAATACCTATTACTCTTGCATTGGTGTCCATTTCCTACTATTTGAATGCTGATTCCAAGAGTTGCTGGCAGTGTGCAAACAGTGCAAGGGAGGAAGTCGTAATTTGAATTACATCACTCCCAAGTGGAAGGCCTGTAAAACAGTGGAGCAAGCTAAGCAGAGGGTCACTTGAGGAGGGACTTGCTGTAGAAGAGAGTCATTTATCATACACAAGGACTGAAGATAGGTAAAATGAGTTTTCTAGGGTACAGTTTTAGATAATTAAGAGAAGATACCAATGATGGAGAAGTATGAGTGTCTTAGAACTCTGAAACCAAGTGAGCTGTCAGAATGAAGACTGAGACAGTTTTGTTTTACAAAAATGCACTTGTTCTTTTGGTTTTTTTTTTTTGTTGTTTTTTTTTTTTTTTTAGTGAAGCAGTTGGTTTACCAGTTGTTTTATAATATCTGTGTTTCCAATTTAGTTACTGAAAGCAACATAATAATAATAATAATAATAATAATAATAATAATAATAATAATAATAATAATAATCCAAAAGTGCAGCAGTGCTGGAATATTGTGCAAGACCTCTGGAGAAGGTTAAGAAAGCAGGCATTGATTATTTCAGGATTTAGACTGAAACAATCTGACTTTAAAAATGGGATGTTAGAAGATCAGAGAATTTCTTAAGCTTGTGGTATCCTTGGAGAGGCTGCTGTGTCGTATGTACTATTTTAGTTTGCAGATGTGTTCTCAGCCTCTTGTACCATTGGACTGTTTTGGGTTTTTTTTTCCTCCAAGCTGTTGTGCTTAATGAACTTGCTTTAGAATCCAGAAGGTCTAAACCCAGATATTGAAAGGGTCAGAGGGCAGGCATTTGGATCATCCTCAGTATGCAGTCTGCCAAGGAACTTTAGATTATCTCTGGGAGATCTAATTGATCCTTCACACTCTAGTGTCTGCTGTGTCTTTTTCAGCTGCATTGGAATCTAGGAACTTGAGCAGTTGGCATCAGAGCTATCAGGCTGGCAGAACTTGGAGCCTGTAATCCCAACTTCCAGCGGTTCTCCTTGCTATTTGTATTAATGTGGTTAGTAGTCCACTAGATACAAAAAACACAAGAACTTGTCTTCTGAATCTAGAAGTCTGTGGAGTTTTTTCTTTCTATGGATTTATTTTGTAAAATCTCCTGAAAGTTTTTTCCCCAGTCGTTCTTTTACTTTGTTATGTATTGCGCTATTGGTAAATATTGTCAGTTTTCTCTTATAGTTTCCCTTATTGGTATGACACAGATGTACCTTTGTTTCTCTTATCCATTAGCAATGTAATTTTGTACCTCATTTTCTAATGGAGTTGACCTAAGTGAATCCTGCTTTTTAACCTCTTTTAGAAATTAACAGTGGACTGCAAAGCAGGTAGGTTTTGTTCTATCTGCATAAGAATAATGTAGTTATAAATTCTCTGTAAAGCTAGGTTGCTGGGTTTCATTTGTTTTGGGACTGCAAACAGGAAAGCTCACTATACTTTAGATTCTTCCTCTCTTCAAAATAGTGGTTCCCCATTGTCACAGATAATCAGGTTTTAGTTTTAGTAGATGACGTTCAGATCCTTGTCATATGATTTTCTGGTCTGGCACCTGGAGTCCTTCTTTGCTGTTAGTATATTCCCATGTGGTTGATTTATTGAAGATTTTCAGAGATTGATTATGCTTTAAATTTTAGTGCTTGTATCCAATACAATGCCGTCATATCTTTACCCTCAGTGTAGCATTTTTAATCTGCTTTGAAAAGTTAAGAAGTTGCAGTTGACAGCTGTGTGGCCAAGATATCAGATGGTTTGGGGGGCTTAAGGATACCTCTCTTAACAGACTATGTGAATATGTCCATGGGAGTTAAGAATTTTATAGCAGGAACAACTTAAGTCTAACAGGCATAAGCTTAATAAGTTGTCTGGTTTGTGGAATTAGTGTTGCTGCTTCCTGAAATGTTAGTTCAGTTTCCAGTGTTATCCAAAATGAGAAAATTGAATGATAGTCATCATTAGCAGTGAGGAACAAATGGGTAATAGTCATTATGATAGTAGATAAAGCTGTGATGCTTTGAGAGCGGAGTATTATCTGTGGTTCTGTTTATGTCAGACAAGAAAAGATACAGTAGAGGGAGGAAGGGTACACAAAAAGATGTAATAAATAATTAAAGTTATAGAGTCACTTCTGTATGAGGAGAGATGTGGACTAGTTCAGCCTCGGAAAGAGACGACTGAGGAGAGAGACAACAGAGGTACCACGAATGCTACATTGCCAGAGAGCAGGGATATTTTTAGATTATTTTTTTCTTTTTTTTTTTTTGTAAGGACTGGGACAAGGACTGTAGGGCACCAAATACAGTTGTCAGGCAAAAACATAGCTGAAACGGATCACATCACTGGAGATCAAAAGTAAAAGTGTGTTCAAAAGAGATTGTGCGAATGCAAGTTAATCAGGGGCTATTAAACACAGTTGCATGGGAAATCCTTCAATTTCTGATTGGCAGAAACTGGAGGGGAAACAATGTGTATACATGCACATCACTTTTCTTGTCATTTTTCTCTAAAAATTTGTTACTAATTATTTCTAAGGTAGGTGTTCTTAGTTTACATCATGTTCTGTTGTTGCCTGATGGGGTTGTAAGGTAGACTGAGGTGGGCCTTGTGCTGCTCTTGCTGGTTTCTTAAAAGAAGGTGAACTTAGTGCTTAGCTATGCAAATGTTTCAGAGGTGTTTGAGAGAGAGACATGGTGCATATGGAAAACTGAGGAATAAAAGTTTGAATGACTGGTCTAAGATTCCTTTGAGTTTCATGCAAGGTTTAAGAATCAGTGTCTAGTAGTTTCATATACTTTCTGTTTGATATTAAGCCTGTGTATTCCAAGATAAGAGAGATGGCAGCTGATTTTGTTCAATACACGCTGCGATATCGATAGTGTGCATGGTAGGGTTGGCTTATGTTTATTACTGCCTCATAACTTAGGTTCATTTGAGCTTCCGTGGAATCCTCCAGTGTGATTTCCTGCACTTCAGAAGTTATTTCTAATGATGAGTTTATAACTATTTTACTTTTGATTTTTGTAGAAGTTATGTTTAATGTATTTCTTTCTTACTGCGTTTTTTGTGATGTCACTGTATTGTTACTTTTTTGGTAACAGAAGTGTAGATTTATGATCTTGTAGGAGATGGAAGGAGAATGTGGAGACTCAGCCTTCATCCTACAGGAGTCTGTCGCTGCATTGTTTAGTTCTACACACTTGCATACTTCAGCAAATTTATCACATTTAATGTTCTTCAGAAACAATCTTTTTATGTTTTATACAGGAGAAGGAACTTTTGGCATTTAGAATAAGAGAAATCCATAAGACTTTCTTCTCTCTCTTTCTTTTTTTTTTTTTTTCTTTTTCTAATTCTGCTTGTTGATTCTTCTTTGTCCTGTGTTGCAGGCGATTATCTGGCACGATAGATGTGATTGGACAGACCATCACTATCAGCAGGGTGGAAGGACGACGGCGTGCTAATGAAAACAGCAACATACAGGTTTTATACTGCAGATTTGCACACTACCTTTGACTAAAAGACATTTTTACTTTCCCTGTAGCTTCTGATTAAAACATTTCTGTGTGTATGAATGAGTAATATAGAAGTAGCTTTAAGTTCAGGAAGAAAGTTCTGGCAGTTGATTGAAATATATTAAGATTAAATATTTGGTATATTTCAAAAGATAAATGTTTTGGTATACTTCTTACTGAAAGGAAATGAGCAATATTGCAGACTTAGAATCCAGGAGACAGCACTGGCTCTGCTAGATCTGTGTGGGATCTAGCGTTTTGTTTACTGCGTGACTAAGATAAATATTTAAACTGACTGTTCATTTCTCCCCTGTTCCTGACAGACACTAATGTTGAAAGTGTATGCCTCTTTGTATGCAGTTTGAGAAATGTAGTCTTTTAAAAATAAGTTACAAAGCAATAAAAAGTTGATAGCACTTTTTTAAAAATTGTATTATTTTCCCATAAATTGTAAATTTGCCCATAATTGTAATTCCCATTGTCTTTATGATTTTAGTGTTTAAGGGCTTGGATTATCTTAAGAAAACATCTAAATGCGTTAAGATTGAATACACTTTTTCCCTCAAGACTTACCTGTGGTGAAGACTCAAGCTTGCTTGATGCCCTAGCTGCATTTCCATGCCAACTTAGGTTAAACAATGAAAATAATAATGGGTTATAGTGCTTATATTGAAAACCCTACCATGTGTTTTTCAGCTGATCTCACAGTGTTTAAGTAATTTAAAGTCTTGGTTTTTTTCATGCTTTTCATATTGATTTTAAAAATATTTTCCTTTATATATAAATTTAAGATGGTGTTTTGGGCCATGTTCACATGGTTTATGTTCCCTCTCAGATCTTACATTTGTTGTTCCCTATTGGCTGCTCTTAGACCCTCAGAGGTACTTGGCAAGTATGGGACACTGAATGTAGGGATGCAGATAGAACTTAAACCATCTGAATATGGCTCTTTAGGTGCATAAGTAATACTTTCCTGTTGTAGTAACTGGAAAGAGAGGAAGCCTATCTTCTACCCTTTTGACACAGCAATTGTAACTATAGTTTGATATTTTGCAGGTTCTTTCAGAACGATCTAATCCTGAAGTAGACAATTTTACCAAGCCACCTCCATTTTTCCCTCCAGGAGCTCCACCTACCCACCTTCCACCACCTCCTTTCCTCCCACCCCCTCCAACTGTCAGTACTGCTCCACCTCTGATTCCCCCACCAGGTAAATATCCTGCACTACATAGGATGTGAAAAATGAGAGATGCATTATCATCAAATGCTTGATGATAGCAAATTAAAGACAGTGCATCCCATGCACATTTGGCTATATGTGCAGAATTTCAGAATTTTGTATTCTACTCTTTTTTATTAAATATATCTGCAAGGCAGAAACAGAAACTTTTGTCTTTACTTTCTCAGTAGGTGTAGTCCCAAGTAATAAATAATTACTGTAAGACTAGATGTTGGATCTTGTGTCCTTGAAAATATTTGAAGTGAGAAGCTGTTTTCTATAATTCAACTAGTATTAATGCTATTGAGAGGTATGTGTTAACAAATCATTGTACAAACTTTTGAACTAGAAGTGTGGCATACCATGAATTTGTGTCAGAAGTTGGATTCTCTGATGTCTAATGTCAAAGCAGCAACAGAAGCTTTGATTCCCCTCACAGTATGTATGAATTCCCAACAGTCTGATAAGAGTTGTGTTTGTGCTATATCCTTTCTTTCAGTTAGAGGTCTTCTTAGCACCTCATGTTTTTATCTAGCCCCCTGTGTCTGTGAATCTTGGAGGAATCAAAGCTCTTTGAGAACTCTTCTCATTGTTAAATCTGGTTTGAAATTTACTGATGTTTATTGATATTGACTGAATATTTACTGAAACTTGATATTTATGGAAATTTACTGGGAGGAGTGTCATGGGCATTTGCACAAATAATGCAGTTACCTGAGTGTTGTAATTTTTGAGGAATTAAGTTAAAAAGGACTTAGCAAGTAACTAAGAATGGTCAGTGAGAAATGAAAATAGATGGAAAAACTTTGGGGAGCATTTGAGTAGAAATGTGAAGGACTGGTGTAGAGAAGAGAGTGATTTAAGGTGGAGCCACTTTCTATATTTTCTCCTTTTGTTCCTTGTATTCTTTTGCTTCTGAAATGGTGCTAAGAAATTCCTTTGTTATTTTGTTCTCAGAGGTAATCTTTTAAAAGTTTGTTAATACTCTACGTATACACAAGGAAGTAACATTACTTCTGTGCAACAACTTTGTGTGGGGATTTATAGGGTTTAAATCATAGAAGATTGCTTTCCTCAGTTGCTGCTACTGATTTTAAAACTATTAGCTCCTGCTGCCTGGCAAGCTCTGGCTTTCATCAGTGATTGTCAGACACAAAATGATGCAACTTAGAAAACAGAAGAGATTTAAAGATGAAATAATTCTGTGCCCTTTTCCAAGATTTTGTGCATAAATATAAAAAAATAGGGTATCTGAAGAGCAAATATGCTACTGCTCCGACAGTTTTGTGATGTTTTCTTACTGTAGGGGAGACAGGAAGGAGAGGAACATGATGCTAATACTAACTGTGATTTTAAGCTGAATTAAAACAGTTCTGATAAAATAATGTAGGTAATGCATTGCAAGTTTTTAGAGTGTATTTATTTTAATTGTAATTGTGGTACAGAAAAGGTGATCTGGGTTGTATATTATTAAAAGCATAAGAGGAATCCCCACAGACACCCCAAATGCACTTGGTGCAGGCATGTTGTATACTTGGACTGTTGGTGTACCTGGTGTACTTGAACTGTTCTGACGAAACTCCTCACCTGTTGAGCTTTTAAAGGTGAAAGAAATTTCACATGTGTTACAGATTTAGTAAGCAGGTTTGGCTTTAGTCATGTGGTTTACAGACAGGTTTATGACAGACACTTGTTCAGAAAATCTCCTTCAACATCCTTCCGTGCATCGAGTAGATTCAAAAATAATGATTAAGAGCTGTGGATTTGGTTTCTTCAGGCCTGTGTTTTAATTGTGCTGTTGCCAGCTCTTTATCTTCAAAGCTGTTCCTAAAATAGAATCTGCCATCCCTCCTAGGTTCAATGGAGGAGGAAAAAAACTACTCTTACCCAATATTAAACCAGGACTACTTGCCAGAAAATTTAAGTATTCCAAATATAAAACATCCTCCAAAAGCCCCTTTGAAAAAGGATCTTGCTTTGAAGTTAGATCTCTTGTTCTGAATTCATTCACTCTTGCGATTCAAATCTCTTTGAGAAACGAGTCCTGGAACAATTCAAAGGGCCAAATGCAGAAAATTCTCAAATACCTCCTAGAAGATCACTGGCTGTGGGAAAAAAAGTGTTGTTTTTTGTTTGCTTGGTTTATTGCTGTGTTGGAGTACTTTAAATCTAAAGAAGAATGTGGATGCTTCTGCTTAACAGACTTTAAAAGTTGTTTTACGTGTTTTGGTTTAAGAGTGTAGTTAAAATGTGATGTGTATTTGTGATATTAAAAAAAAATTACTATGAAGTATTGAACTTCTGTTGCATAACTTTGGGAAGTTTGCCTGGGCATATAGCAGGGCATCTGCTCAACCCCAGCAATCTTAAGTGTGTACTTTTCATCTTGCGATAAAGGAGAGAGAATTTACTTGGTTTAGCCTGTGGCAAAAGAAGTTTTTACACCAAGCTGAGTTATATTACATTGCTGTGGGCTACTACACAGTTCAGCTAATTTGCAGTATGTTGTTAAGCTGTGGCAGCTTTACCGTGTTTGATTCTTTACTCTGCAAGTGGGGCACATGGGGCATTGCTTTCCTTTAGTAAAACCTACTTGGTTTTCTGTAAATAATTACCAGCCTTAAGTTAGTAGGATTAGTTAGTGTCATGAAAGCAATATTGAGCACATAGGTAAAAAAAAATGCTGCACTAATGCTATTTGGATTGCTTTTGACCCACAAGTCTGAATATTTAGGCTTAGGCCAGGTGTATCTCTGTGGCAGTACAACGTGTTGTAGGGACGTGACGTGATCTATGGTGAGTCAGCTTCTGGCACTGGTACTCAAGTTTAGTCCCTACGTTGCAAGGAATGACTCAGTATTTCAGAGTCTTTTTTCTTTCTCAGAAGAAGTAATTGGCTGATGACGCTTCAAGTATATTTCTGTACACTGAGTTAGTAGAAGACAAAGGAATGAAGAGATTCTTAGTTGTCCATTAACTGAAGTTTACGATATTTTTTTGTTTCTTGTTTTGTGTCACATTCACGTGTTAGAGAAGAAGAGGAAAAAACTTTGTTTAGAACTTTTTAATGATACTTGCTAACTTGGAATGTAGAAGAATGTTTCTTCTATTATGATGCCATCAAGTAAATAGCTTCTGTCTTAAAATTATATAAACATTAATCATGATGATTTAAAATGTTCTTAAAGGTTTTTTTAAATGCCTATGTGATTTTTTTAGTATAATACCCTGCGTTAACCAATTCATTAAAATTATTTGGATGTTTGGTCTCGGGATGTTACTCGTATTCAGTCTGTCTTAATTTTGTTTGAATGGCTCTCAAGGGGAATGTTTCATTTGGCTTTTAATCTTGTGATGAGATTTTTATTTGCATTTTTGGACAAGATAAAATTCTGAGGAATATATTAATTGTTTAATCAGAATTTGTTTTTGTAAGGAGTAGTAGCTGATAGCTTTTGAGGCAATTCTGTGCATACTGCTGAGAGCCATTATTCAGTGCTAACAATATACTGGTTTTAGTGCAGCAGTTTAAATTTTTTTAAGCCTAGGGTAGAGCTAATAATTAATCATATTTGAGAGAACTTCTGATATTTTTCTAACTTACGTTCTTAAGAGTTTAAGAGGTGGTTTTTTATATATCTTTATATTTATTTTCTATGGTGTGGGCTCAATAAGAATCATATTAAGGTGGACAATTAACCAAAAAAGATTAATAGAAAAGACTTCAGCTGTGCAACAGTTTGAGTTCCCAGTCATTAGGAATGTTTGGTCTTTCAATTGTTACAGTGTCAAACTTTTTATACGTGATTTCCAGTGTTCTCACAATGATAGTGCACATTGGAAAGCTTGCCTGCTGGTAAAGAGAAAGTGACTCAAGAGGTTTAGAAATTTGGCTTTTGGGGTTCACTGTCTCCTGATTTACATTTTGGCTGACGTTAGATTTTAAATCTTCAGGATTGGACAGCAACCTCAAGTTTGTTTCACAATTTGTTTAATCCTATAAGATTAGTGCTGGTAAGAATACATGTCAGTGAAATCACCAGCAATTACAGAATCACAGCATGGTAGGGGTTGGAAGGGACCTCAGGAGATCATCTAGTCCAAGCCCCTGCCAAAGCAGGTTCCCTATTGCACAGGAAAGTGTCCAGGTGGGTTTTGAAAATCTCCAGAGATGGAGCCTCCACAACCTCTCTGGGCAGCCTGTTCCAGGGCTCCGACACCCTCACAGTAAAGAAGTTTTTCCTTAAGTTTGTCTGGAACTTTTGGTGTTCCAATTTTTGCCCATTGCCCCTTGTCCTGTCACTGGGTACTACTGAAAAGAGTAGTAGCCATTTGGCCCCCACATTTCAGATATTTATAGACATTGATAAGATCCCCTCTCAGCCTTCTCTTCTCCAGGCTGAAAAGTCCCAGCTCTCTCAGCCTTTCCTTGTACGGGACGTGCTCCAGGCCCCTAATCATTTTTGTGGCCCTAATTATTGGACATTGGTATTGACTTCTCTTCCTCAGCTTGCATATTCCTTCACACCACCCTTCTGCCAAAGCAATTTGGGAGCGGTTGGCATTTCTAGATATTAGAATATGTAGATGTAGTTCAGTTTTGCTGCTGTACAATAGTGTGTTAGTTCTAATGTTGAACTAATTATATATACATAAAATTAATCATGCAATGGCCAGTACATTCAGGATATTCTCTGAATGATGTAGTCTGGAACTTGAATGAGATGGGTTTTAATTTAAGTGGGTCTGGCTGCTGTTCTCTCTGGATGTTTATGCAGTTGTGGCAAAACTGATGAAAGCACTTGGCAAAGTTTTCTGTTCTCACCCCCCCCAAAGTCGTGCAGTGAATTGTCAGATTGAAAATACTTATTTTTTAATGGAAGCAGAGTTGCTTGTAACTGAAGGAGCTTTATGCCCAGTAAAATAGTCTGTTTTCTGACTATATTGCTTTGGCCCAGTTTATTATTTTCATGTAACAGTGTTTTGTGTGTTCAGTTGAGGTAGAGCTGGTTCTTTGCAAAGTATGAGAAAATAATGTCCTTTAAAGTGTACGAATTATTTTTACCTTGTAATCATTCCTTTCCTAATCAAAAAAGATAGGTTTATATGTTGAGGCAGTATATTTTGTTAGGTCAGCAAACTCAGTTGGGAACAATTTCTCAGCTTTTAGTTAGATTCATAACAGCTAAGCTAGCTCTGAAAACCAGAATAGTTAGAACAGTTTTTGAATGTGTTTGTATTAAAGGATGCTCCTTTCTTGGCTGTTTACAAGAAAATGGAGTACTGGACAATTTTTTTTTCCCTCCAAGTAGCAACAGAATGATTAATTGCAGTGTGGCACAGCATTGGCTGAAAAGTCTGTAGTGCTTACTGTTGCTAGAATATTGTGTCCATGTGGACCTACTGTTTCCTATGCTAAGCTATTAAATGTCAGAGGCCAATTGCATTTCCTTTCATCCAGTCATTGAATAAAAAATAAAGCACATACATTAATATATTCTAATGGCCGTCTTTCCTTCTGGATACTAAACATTTTAGGGTTATGGATTTAATTCTAATCTTGAGACCCAGAATCATTCCTCATTATTTTTGTCTGTAATTAAATAAGAACCTGAAGAATAAGAGTTTAAATAAAAAGCCAGATTTCACAAAGCTTGTATAAAATCTTAACAATTGGTATTAATGTGAGATCTTGATCTGAGGACACAGAAAATAAGTTACTATTCTTCTGATCATGTATGTGGTGATAGCTCAATCTGATTTTAGATCTACAGATAATAAACTATTACTTTAACTGATACATTGTTTATTATCTTTTTAGGTATACCAATAACAGTGCCACCACCAGGTAAACTTGCTTAGAATTTTTTTCCACATTTGGTTAAGAAATGAAAACTTAACTGATACGCAACTTATCAGCTTCCTTTTGGATATGTAGATAAAGTGCATACATACAAAACTATATGAATAGACATAGGCTCAGTTATTTTAATGCCAGGCAGAAAAGAAAATGTGTGAAAATGCTGTTGATTAGTGGACCTAATCAGTCACTTTTAGATGTGTGCTTTCTTTTTTAATTTCTGTTCTTTTTTTTCAGTTATGCAGAAAATAGTTGTGATTGTTGTTTATTAAGTGTCATTAGATACTCAGGAATTTTCCTATGCCTCTAAATTATTGTATTTTTAAGAATGATAAGGTATTTGATTTGAAGCACTGATAATATATGTTTAATACTCTGCCTTTGTTAAGCTGGAAAGTAGTTCTCAGTCTTAAAAAATAAAACCCATTTACACAATGAGAAACAATTTTTGTGTTGTAATCTCTGAAATTTGTTTGCCATTGTATGCTTAGCCTAGTTCTTTTATGTGTTTATATTGTGTTTTTTTTCTTTCCCCCTCCTCACCTAATTTTTTATTACAGGCTTTCCACCACCACCTGGCGGTCCTCCACCTTCCCTCATACCCACAATAGAAAGGTGATTATCTGTTTGAAATCTTACAAAGCAATATATCAGTATTCTGTAACTGACAATAAATTAGTAAGGACTCTTATGTTTTATGCATTTTATTTGGGAGTGGGGAGGCAATTTCAGATTTTTACAATATTTTTACAGAAAAGTTACTAGTCTCACCTGTCTGACACTTAATATTCTTTTGAGTAGGTTACTTGACCTCTTATTAGTTTAGTTCAGTTCTGACACTATATCAGTGCCAAGATTTAAGAACAAAGTCAAGGTAATGATTCTTAAAGTATTCTTTAGTAGTCTGAAGGCTTATTTAAGTGAATCATATACTTGTCAGCTACCATATTCTTTTCTAGAAATACAAATGAACAATTTGGCCACAGATTCAAGCCCTCATATGCTATAGGAAATGCCAGAGTTCCACAGAATCCCAAGTTTGTGTTTCTACTGTCTTTGTTCTAAGTGTTCAGCTTAAATAGCCCTAACAGTATTTTTTCAATACCTTTTTTATATACATGTATATATATATGCATACATATATTATTTTAATACAGATATGTAAAAGGAAGAAAAAAAAAAAGTTGGCCAGCACTTTACTTTACATTAGTAAAATATAAAAAGTATTTATATTTTACTAGAGGCCAAAACCAGGTCATATACAAAACTCACTTAGGAAGATGGTGTAAGTCTCTTGCCAGTCCTTTGGATTTCACTGAAGGAAGGTGCACACATCTGTTCCTTTGAAATTGAAAATTCTATTAATATGTATGCTACAGGATGATGATGGTAAATCTCTGAGAAAATCCTCATCTCATTTAATTCAGAAAAAGCCCTAACTGGATGCATTTGATGTGCATGAAAGTAAATTTATTTCTTCATACTGACAGTTGCTGTGAGTGACTGCTGCTTCTGCCTGTTAAGCAGTGGTCATTGCATTTACATGTGAATACTTACACAGTTTCTGAAATACCATGTGAAAAAATCAAGTTTATCATGGAACCTGGGAATGTAATCTCATACTTGTAAATGTTAAGATGTTGCACTGGCTTTTCATTATCATTGGGTTTTGTTTTTTCTTTTTAAACTAAGCTAACCCAAAAATTATTTCTTAATGTTGAAGTGCCTTTAAGAACAGAAAGGTTAAATACTGCAAAGATAATTAATTCAAGTTCTGTAGGAAGTGCTAAAAGTCTTTAAAGAATGATATATGTATGAATTGTCTTTTGCACATACCATCCTTTTTAACCTTTCTGGTTTTACCTACTTGAGTAAAAAGTTACCACTTTGAGCTACCACTGAAAGAAGTCAGCCTAGGAAATGTGTAGCTAATTTAATAGTTTATTTATAGAGCTACACATTTGAAGTCTACCTGTTCTTAGATATGCTCACATACCTACTTTTTAGCAGAAAGAAGGAGAATTGCTTCATTCATGAATTAAGCACTTTCAAGCAGTTGGAGGTTAAGTTCAGGATCTGTGCAGAAACATGATACAAGAAGCATTTGAAATAGGAAATTAATTGAAAATACAAAAGAACAGCTTTGATATTATGGATATTTTTTATTTTAAGAAGAGAGAATGCTATTTTCACCTTCCGTAATAAAACATGAAATATACATATTTGTGCTGATAAACAGCTTCCTTAATTAGTAATACTCAAAATGCAGGACTTAAATCCATTTATAGCAAGCACTTTGGTTTAGTCTGTATGGTGCTAAGAATTCAGGGGAATAATGTTAGAAGTATATATTTATTGATGGAGGTAGCTTTGATGGTAAAACTGGATTTTGACATGTATTTTGTTTTCAATAGTGGACATTCTTCTGGCTATGATGGTCGTTCTGTTCGTGCATTTTCGTATGGCAGTGGTGAGTAAGTTTGCTGCTTTTGAAAATTTTGAGTAGTGTTATATCAAATTGTTTGATAACACTCACCAAGATTTTAACTAAGAGACTAAACAGGTCTTTTCAGTAATTCATTATGAAAGCTCATTGCCTACCATTGTAAACAGATAAATGGTATTGGAAATTTAACAGCTGTTTGTAAATACTATTGTTTTGCTTACTTACCTGTATGCTGGATATCTCTCCATGCTGTGTTTGTGGAATTGTGATTTTGAAAAATAATACACCATAATATGGACCACAAGTCAGGGAGAATTTTCCAAGAATTAGCAGGATTTAGAAGCAGGAGAACAAGTACTGTCAAGTTATCATCAGAATTTTAACCAGCAAGACGAATCATTGAGAAATCCTGAGTGATGTACCTCTCCTTTTAAAAGCTGTTTGTCTAAGATACTATAATCTTCAGCTATCCTGTTGCAAAGTCATTCTTTCTTTTTTTTGGTTAGTGTTATGGAAAAAATATGAAGCTGAAAAACATCATTTTCTGGTTTTATAGTAAGAGCGAACCAAAATAAAAGTTTCATTATGTGTAAGCAATTGAACATCCACAAAACGTACAGTGAATTTAGATTTGTTACCTAGCATAGCTCTGCTTCTTGAGCCAAAGGAGTGATAGCAATACTAAGATGTCAGCTTCTTGCTGACCTAGACCAAATTGGGAAGATAAATATAGAATCACAGAGTGGTTTGGATTAGAAGGAACCGTCAAAGATCATCTAGTCCAATCTACCCCTGCCATGGGCAAGGATGTCTTTCATTAGACCAGGTTGCTCAAGGTCCCGTCCAACCTGACCCTGAATGCTTCCAGTAATGGAGCATCCATGACTTCTCTGGGCTACCTGTTCCAGTGTCCCACCACCCTCCTTAGAAAGAATTTCTTCCTTAAGTCCAGTGTAAACCTACCCTTTTTAATTTTAAAACCATTGCCCTTTGTCCTGTCACTGCTGGCCCTGGTAAAAAGTCTCTGCGCCTCTCTTATAAGACCCCCTTCAGTATTGAAAGATTGCAATAAGGGCTCCCCAGAGCCTTCTCTTCTCCAGGCTGAACAACCTAGGGGAGATGTTCCAGCTCTCTGATGATTTTTCATGGCCCTCTTCTGGACCTGCTCTGATACATCTTTCTTGTACTGGTGGCTGGAGAGCTGGATGCAGTACTCCAGGTGGGGCCTCACGAGAGCACACCGGGAGAATCACTTCCCTCAACCTTCTGGCCATTCTTTTTATGCAGCGCAGGATACAATTGGCTTTCTGGGCTGCAAACTCACATTTTCAACAAAGCTCATATTTAATTTTTCATCCACCAGTATCACCAAGTCCTTCTTGGCAGGGCTGCTCTCAATCAATTAATCACCCAGTCTGTGCTGGTATTGAGGACACACAACTGCAAGACCTTGTGTGTTGCCGGTCACTGCCTCTGCCTTCAGTGCATCTGCCATCCAGCCCCATGGCTAGTGTCTGACCCTAACTGCTGGGAGGAGAAATTTTAGGGAAAGTTCTCTCCAGTTCTGGGGATACATAATGTTCAGCACAGATGAAAGGTTTGGATAATGTATCTCCCAAATGGTAGAGGTAGGTCTTTAGAGAGGATATACATCTCTATACATAGAGATACGTCTTTAGAGAGGATATACAAAATTGCGTTTTTGAATGGCTTGTAATTTCTTGAAGCTGGAGCAGTTTGTGGAGTAACAAGTGGTACTTTGCTGACATTGAAATGATTGTTATCAGTTATCGAGTGTTTGCTTTCATGCATGGAAGCTTGCTATGTTTTCAAGAATTCTTGATGTGAGCAAACAGCTGCTTTATGCTAACTACTTTTTTAGCAATAATTGAACTGTGTTTACTGAAGTTGTAGCAAAAAGGTAAAGCTGAGGCAGACAACTAAGGTACCCAACTGACTATTTTGCTGAAGCTTTAACATATAAAGCTGTGCAGAGTGCCATAAGAAAAACAATCTTAGAGTCATCGGTATGACTCTAAGATTGGAGTCTAATTGCATCTAATTGTAGGCTCCAATTTAGAAGTTTTTCACTTTGGAATCTCTTTTGTTAGAATTTGCTGTTCTGTCAAGTGTTGTCAGGGACACAAGAATATTTCCAAGTTTTATGTTGACCTGCTTATGTTGTTGCAGTACCAGTAGTCAAAAGGTGATTCTTACCGTGATCATGCCAACATAGAATTTGAACTTCTTCAACAGGGTTAAAAAATGATGGTTATAAGGAGCACAGTCTGGTCCCATCTTCCCAGTGTATCTGGCATCCCTGTTGTGGCAAAAGCTTTCATATTTGCTGCACAAAGCAAATTGTTTGTCTCTAAGCTATGCCTGTCATATGGATTTTTGAGTCTGTAGAGACTCAGTGGCATTTTATTGCTGTTGTTCTTCTCTTAGTGAAAGATGTTTTCCTGGCCAGCATCTTACTCTCTCAGTCCCTGTCCCACGATGTAATCCCTGGCCAGTATTTTACCAGTGCACTCTGTGCATCAGAATTTAGGTAAATTGAGGGCTCAGTGGTGCAGTAGGGTACAGATTATTATTTTAATTAAGAATTGCTAAGTGTATTAATAGTTTCTTTGGATGATAGCACTGAATCTCCAACCTGTTGTCTTCTTTGCCAGTCTGTATGTTTTATGGCATTGTCAAAACTGCGGGGGAAGATGAGCATGTGGATGCATTGCAAAAAGATACCAATCTTGATTAAGACTCTGGCCTTTCTTCTTCCTATTCAAATTGCTAATCTCATGCTTTGATGTCTTTTCCCTGGTGGTCAAGCGTGTTTCCCATTGCAAGCCCATTAGGAAGGTTGCATAGTAAAATAATATTCTTAACTTGTAGCTTCAAGAATGTCTGCTTTGCCTTCGTGCTCTGCATCAATGCAGTTTCTTCAATTTGCTCTTAGATCCTTTCACAATTCACTGCTACCTTTGCCATCAGATCTTTGAATTTTATTGAGTTGTCAATATATGGCAGTGAGTTTGGTGTGTCAGCAAAGTAACATGTAACTTGTTCGCTTTTTCCTCAAGCATTTCTCTGTTCTGTATTCTAAATGTTCTTTGTACCTTATGAACTTGCAAGAAATTTAGTGTTACAGAAACAGTTTGAGAGTCAGTATTTTTGAGGCGCAAAGAAGATGTATTAAGAGTTTGCCTTACACTGTGACACCGTGCAGCTTTAAATTTCTAAACTATCTCCAAAACAGGACTTAAGTCTCTAAAACTATTGATTGTTCAAAGCTCCCACTCTTCCCATTTTAAAAATAAAATCAGAGTTAAGTGGAAGTGTCTTTCTTTTTGTAGAAATTATTAGAATAATCCGTGTAGAAATGTTAAAAGTGGCAAATTACTTCATTCTAAGTAGTAAACACAGAACACCAATTCATATTAGAAAGTAAGCTTCTTGTGTGTTGTGAGTAATTACTGGTGAAAATCTAGATAAAAAATGTGCAGAGTATCAAAAAACTGGTTTAGCTCAGGTTATTGGGGTGGAAATGACATACTTCTGTCTGATGAGAATTACTGCAGATGTGGGGGAGTAACCAAAATTTATCGTAAAAGTTTTGTTAGCATTAGTAATTGTTTTGTAGTATACATTTAATGTTAAACTTAAGTTTACACTTCAGATCAGAATATTCTGGCAGCCAGTATCTCACAGACCATACGTATGTTGTTGACATAGTGGCAAGTCAAGGAAATTAGCAGTCTTTAAAGTCCAGCTGTTTTTTTGCTATTTCTGGCTGCTTTCCTTAGAAGAATTTCAGATTTTGGCAGTATAATGAACAACATACTATTGTATTAGGGTATTTTTTTCTGTTAACTCCTCATTTTTTCTGTAGTCCTGAAGCGAAACAGTGTCAAGCATTTTCTTAGAGGCAAAACCTCGTATAAATGCTTTTTTAAAGAATTATAATGCTTTTCATTACGAATGTATTTTAACAATGAAGTGTTTTTTCCTGCTCCACTGCCTGCTCAAAAGGCCTTTTGTATTCCTCCTTTAGATGGTTGGCAAACTGCTGTCTTAAGCTTCTGCCAAAGCTTTCTGGGGCAGGCATACCTCAGCCATTGTAGGGAAGGCAGTCTGAACATAGCTGTCAGGAGAAGCCACTGGTTTTATAACTTGACAGTATTAAATACAGCATCAGTAATGAACTTTACATTGTTCAGTGCATATTTATGTTAATTACACTATTAATGTCTCTTTGTGATACGATGAAGTCAAGTGAATATTGTTCTCATATTATAGATAATGAAGTGGAACTCAAAACAAACGATTTATTGAAGGCTATGTTATCATTGGCTAGCAAAGCAGATAAGCAGAAAGTGGGAAGTCCTCTGTACTGTAAGTCCACTAGAGAGTGCTGTTTCCAGTTAAATAGTACAGCCCTTGTTTTTCATTAACAGGATGCATTCACGGGGCTTCAGGAGAGGGAGGGCAGGACAGAACAATTGGGGCATTAAGAGTAATAGTTATTTATTACATGAGAGTTGGCAGAAAGCAATGGAGAAGCATGTCCCTTCTCTCTTCCCATTGCTTGTCACCTAAAAAGATTGTGAGACGGTATAACTTCCTTAACTGCGTGAGCATGTTGTCTTTTATATTAAGATAATGTGCTTCATTTTCTGAAACGACTATATTTTAGTGGTAATAGTGGTTGTACTGAGTATTCATTAGAAATGGTATCTTACAAAGCATAAGTAGCAGCATTTTTTCTTCTCCCCAGAATGAATTTATGCAATTTATTTCTAAAGCTGCTGTTAAATCTGTAATCAGAAAAGTATGGCAAAGCACAGTATAGAATATAAATTAGTGAATGAGAACTTTGTAACTACATTATATTTTAAATACAGTTATATAAAAGGACAAAATATAAAAACAATAGCATCTAAATATAAAGTTGGAAGCATCCTTTTTTCCTGGTTTTTCTGAACTGTACTTTCAGAGCCACTGAGTTTCAAAGGCAGTTTTGTTTTCTAGGCTTTTTTGTTTTGTTGTTCCCCCAAAACAAAGCCATTTGACCATCTAAAATCAGATTCTTTCAGCAAATCTTTGCACTATATATATATATATATATATTCACTATATATACATATATTTTTTTTTTCCCCCCCAAAAGGATTTAGACAGTCTTTGTGGTGTATTTCTGGTTCTGTACATCTTTATAATGAGTATTTAAATGAGTGCCAGAGGCCTTTTTGCATAATGGAAAAAATGCAGAGTTTGTTCAGACTTAACTTTTATGTGAAAGGGGAAGATTGAAAAATGTCATTGGAGGAGGCTGACAAATGTCTGTGTTTCATGCATAAGTAGTATTACAGTTTTCATGTGGTATCTGATTTTGTTCTTTCTAATACCCGCATCTTTTTCTTTAGTCACCTTTCCGCACCTTGCAGGTTCTGCTCCTTCGTGGTCTAGTCTTATGGACACCAGCAAACAATGGGATTATTATGCACGAAGAGAGAAGGATAGGGAACGTGAGAGAGAGCGATCCCGAGATCGGGATCGAGACCGGGACCGAGACAGAGATCGAGAACGTACCAGAGACAGGGAAAGGGACCGAGATCACAGTCCGACTCCAAGTGTGTTCAACAGGTTAGTGAAATATCTTAAGCATGCTCAGAACCCTGTATCTGTGTTAATAGTGTGTTTCAGCATTAAAATGTAGTGTTCAGCTGTATATTCCAAAGAGCTAGAGGACGTGGCTTCCTCCCCTTCCCCCTTTTCTCTTGGAAACTATAGTTAAATTTCTAAATGTAAAACAGAAGTGTAAAAATGACAGTATACGTCCAAACTGGTCATAATGCTTTACAGGTTAAAGGTGTGTGGTAACCCCTGTGTATAAGTGAGATCTCTAGCTCTCTTTGACATCAGTAGTTCTAGAAAAATCTACAGAAGTACTAAATTAATCTTAGTTGCCAGTTCAGTGCTGAGAGCAATGTGCTGCAGTACATCGACCTTAATTTATGGTGGTGTTATCTGCTAAAATGGTTAATTTGGTCATTAGCACTGTCTGGATAATAATCTGTCCTATCTTTTTTAAAACTATTATTTTGAGGTCAAGAACTTTTTTTTTAATTTTCAGGCAGATGATGAAAATAATGGGCAGATAACTTTATTCGGCTTTCAACTCTCTAATTGCTTAAAAAACAAAAAAAGAGATGCAACTGTTCTGTGGTTCACGCGCACAAGCATTTAGTGTTGAACTCTCTATGGCTCCATAGAGCAGAGGTCTATTGGCTTGCCAGATTTATCTAAACTTACTTTACTCATTATTTTGGAGTAAATGTCCTGATGCTTTTCTCAGTGTTTTTTGTTAAGTTTCAATTTTTGCAGAATATATACGTTGGCTATTAGGCGGGTTGTTTTTACCAGTGGTTTTACACTGTGGGGAGTGGGAGCACCCAGAGTCAACGTTCCTTCAGTTGAGCGATGACTTTTTTTTGCATGATGCTTGTTAGCTGAAGACCCAAACTGGGTGCAAGATAGGGGATTTTCCACGTATGCTGGTGTGGTGATGTCCTCTCCTGTGTGCATCTGCTGTGTTCCCTGGTCAGTTTCTGAGAACTCAAGACCACTCTAAACATCTGTTTCTCAGACAGCTTGATTGAAGGCCAGAAAGAAGCCTGGTCATTCAAGGGTGCTTGAAATGAACCTTAATAGCTTCCAGGCCTCGAGAAATCTCTGTGCTGCTGCCAAAGTGATCTGTAAAGGAGGGGGAAGAGCAGGCCTCAACTTTTTTATGTGACTAAATTATCCACCATCTGTAGCAAAGCTGTTGCCACATGGCCGTGTAAGAAAACGGGAGGCCCTTAACTAGTGTAAGTTGGTCTGGGAGTCACAGAGAGGTGGGAGAGGCTTAAGACAGAACATGCAGACATAATGTTTTTTAAGGTTTATTTTCAATTCTATGCACTTATGAAAATAAAAAAAAAACAAACCCAAGCTATAAGGAGAAGAATGTGAACTATTTTAGAGACTGCACAGATGCATTGCTTTTTGTTTAAATTCCCTTTGTTTAAACTTTGTTCAAGTGGCTCTGTGGTAGGATTTGAAATAAGCATCATCTTTAGCTTTTTACTGCTCAGAAATTACTGTTTTCAATGTTTTTAGCAGTTCTTTTCCAGATAAGTAGCCTGTATTTGTGCTATAGTATTTCTTAAAATTGTAAGAAAATGGGAGTTTAAAAAATTCTATTAGTATAACCAAAATGTGGTTTAAAAATGAACCTTCAGCTGTCTTTATATTCTGTTCTACCTTTACCCTGCTATCCTCCGATGAAATTGTGCATTTTACAATACATCTCGCACTGCCCCCTTGAGAAAATGCTGTTCTTCTTGGACTGTTGTCCCTTCTGCAAAGACTATGTTTTCTTTTTTTTCTGTTTGTTTTGATAGTTTCAGGTCAATTAGTTACCACTAAAAATGTAAACCTTGGAATTTGATTGATACCTTACCATTTTGTGGTTCTTCCTCAGCAATTTGAAAAACAAAACCAAAACCCAACAACTGTGTTTCTAAGGATAATTCCATGCAGCAGAGCAGATGAGGGTCTGTCTGGATAGAAAGCAGCTTTACGGGAAAGAACTTGCTGTCCTGGTAGGACATAAAATTCGACAGGACTCGGCACTCAATGTACAGTAAAGGTCAAAATGCACTGAGCTGCATTAGCGTGTAGCCTGCAGGTGGAGAATGCAGTTATTCCCCTCTTATCTGACACTTGATATGACATGCAGAGTACTGTGCCCCGCTCTAGGACCTTCAATACGGAAAAGAAGACTTTGCCAGATTGGAGAGTCTGGTGGAGGTCTGACAAAGTGGTTAGCAGGGCTGAGGGGATGGAGTTTATTTAACTTGAAAGGAGAAGGAGGAGGAGGGTTTTTAAAGGCTGATTTTCAACTACCTAGTCGGTGGTTATAGAGAAGATAGAGCCAGGCACTTTCTCAAGATGCACAGAGAAAGGGCAAGAGGCAACAGTTAAAAGTCACAGCAAGGGAAATTCCAGTTAGATATGGGGGAGGGAATAGTCACAAAAAGAATGATCGGGTGGTAAGACAGGTTGTGGAGAGAAGTTGTGGAATCTCCAGCCTTGAACATACTCAAAAATTGACTAAACGAGGCCCTGAGCAACCTGACCAGACTTCTGAGTTAGGCCTGTGTTGAGGAGGATTTAGCCCAAGTGACCTCCATGAAGTCCCTTCTAGCCTAAATCCTTCAGTGTTTCTTTGTTGAAGGGTTTTTGAATACATGGAAAGGTTTTTGAATACAGATATCAGAAGTTAGACATCTCTACCAAGTGAGATCTCCTAGCTTGTGAAGTTAATAGCTTGTAGTCTGTTTTGAAAAAGTTAACAAAGATTTTATGGATTGGACTGTTTTTGGGCTTGTTTGCCACGAAGGCACAGGTAACTATAGGTCCTCTTCCACAGGTCAAAGGTTGTAGTGCTCTCAAGGCTGTTCCTGGGAGGCTTTGATAACTGTAAATAAGCCCAGATACAAAATGGGGAGATCAGTAGTGTAACATTGAGTACATGGCGTTTATTTCTGTTCCTGAAAGCTCCCAATATACTGGACTTGGCAGACTGATTTTTTGCTTTGCTTATAGAAAGATTGTTTATTTTCAGACACACTTACAGGCTGCCATGGTTCCTTAGCAGTTTGCCAAAATAAGATTTTAAAAAGAGTATCAATAATATTTTTAACCTTTTCTAAAGTGTTTTAAAATAGTTGTGTAACAGATCAAATGCAGACTGTGGATCAACGTTAAAGGTTTTGGATCTCAGCTTTGAAACCAAGCTGTAAGTCTACAAGTAGCCATCTAATTTCTTAAAGCAAGCTCATCAGAAGGCACTGTTAGACATTCCAATTTTAACTTTTTAATTAGATACTGATCATCAGAATATTAGTTCTGGGAAGTAAATTTGGATATTGGGAGTAAACTGTAGTTGCTATCCCTGCAAGCCTGCAGAAATGTAGAGCTCCTAAAATGGTGATGATTAGTGGCACCTTAAAGGTGTGTTAGTACAGGAATCCCGTGTCTAACAAAAATTTTCCATTCAAATCAGACTTTGTCTTTGGTTCTAACTTTTGGCAGAACTTAATTTGAATTTCATTTTTAATGTTATACTTTTTAAAAATATATTCTAAAACTGAGCTTTGTAACTAGACTTCACCAGGCACATACTGTCTTTACGGTGCTGCTTTATTACACTCCAAGACACACTTCAAACGTAGATCAAATGAAGACTGTCATTCTGAACAGCAAAACTAACTGCTATGTAAACTAGGCTAGTCATCGCTTCAGTATGACTTATCCTAGAAACTATCAGTTGATATCAACCTTCATCTTTCTATGACATCTGATAAGAAAACTCTTCTTTTACAAACTCTTTTACCCCTTTCTCTGAATCCTTGAGTTAGTTTCTTGTGAGGAGAATTGCTCAATAGAAAGGGACTTGGATTGCAGGGGGGTTGGAACTAGATGATCTTTAAGGTCCCTTCCAATCCTAACCATTCTATGATTCTATGAAATGATAAAATGGGCATGGCCTTTTAAGCTCTGCTAATGTAGCATCTGAGTATTTGAGTGGTGTTGGCTGACTGTAGATGCTGCTCTCACTTTTTTTTTTTTTTAATTTCACCCTTTTAATCAAGGCAAAATATGAAAATCTTTTCTTAAATAAAGCCTTTAAATTCTTATATAGCCTCTAATATTTAGGGGTTTTTACCAGGATTGTGGCAGGGCAGCACTTGGTCGTAATATAAAAGAGGAGTAGAAATAGAGACAGCATTGACACTGCAGAGGAATTAATTTTAAAACCAACCCAAAACATTGAGTATATTTTACTGTCAGTCTCTTTGCACCTAGCTTTTCCTTTCTTGAAGCTGATGTAAGGAAATAAATCAACTGTACCAAAATTTAATTGAATTTATCCAAGTGATGTAATAGTAAAAAACTATGCTGATAAGTGTTGAGCATTACAGACACTGATCTGAAAACATTACTAAGTTTTATGTAGGATTGTACTTCGTTCACAGCTAGATACAGTTTTAAGCTTGATAACTCCTGTATAAACTTAATGTGACACTATTGTATTCTTTTTTCCTTCCATTTTTATTGAACAATCCCCTTTCAAAATTGCATTAACCCCAGAAATCTAGTGTGTAAGGTGAAGAGCTTTAATGTCCTTTTAGCATATGTTGTGGATCTCATTTAGAAACCCAGAAGCAACATTAAGATTTTTCTGTCATTTATCTGGATAGTGTGTAAGAATTTATTTTTAAAATATATATACTGCTTGGTGTCACTGCCCTGCAAATTTCTTCTTTTCAATCAGTGACGAAGAACGATACAGATACAGAGACTATGCAGAAAGAGGCTACGACCGCCATAGAACAAGTAGAGAGAAAGAAGACCGACACAGAGACAGGAGACACAGAGAAAAAGAAGAAACTAGACACAAGTCATCTCGAAGGTTTGATTTTTTATTTTTTTTAATAGGATACGAAAGACTTGACCAGTTTAAAAAAATAAAGTAAACTTTTAAAAGAACCCCAAACAAACTGGAGTTTTGTGGAAAGACTGTAAACACTTAGATGTGCTACTTGGAACAAGTCTGCCATATAGAATGAGGACAGACAATAAGCAGTGTTGGCCCCAGGTAACTTCGTATTGAATGATGTATGTGACAGTCTTAGCTATTGAACAGAAATTATGAATTTGGGGAAAGAAGGCTAAAAGTGGTAGGTCAGAAAGAGGTGAGTGAAGGTGACATTCAGCAGCATTAATGTTAAGAACTCAACAGTGATTCTTAATAAGTAAAATAATCCTCATGGTCATGTGATAGAGATTGTTCAACTTGATCCTTTTTAAGTTAGAAACAAAGGTTAAGTCCAGGGAATGGGCTCACTAAGAATGTTAAACCATTATGGGATTCCAACAGGGACATGACAATATTCAAAAATATTAGTATTAGAATATGGGTTACAAATGTGGAAAGTCATTCCAGTTTCCCAGCAAAAAGTACAGGATGGGTGGGTGTATGTACCGTTCCATGAAAAATTCAGTTTGGTGCTGACATCCAAATACTCTATGGGTTGGAACAGGAGTGGGTGCCAGTTTTCAAATACGAATGCAAAGGCTGGTATTTTGGTACTCTGTAATTAAATGGGGCCTGAAGTGTCATGCAGTTGTTTGAGGTATTTTATTCTCTCTTTAATTAGTAACAGCAGACGCCGTCATGACAGTGAAGAAGGGGACAGTCACAGAAGGCACAAACACAAAAAATCCAAAAGAAGCAAAGAAGGAAAAGAAGCCAGTGGTGAACCTGCTCCTGAACAGGAAAACACTGAAGCTGCCCCTGTGGAATAGGCTTGTGTGATTTTTGCCTACTTGCATATATATTAGTGCCAGAAATAGATTACTATAAATCTTATTATTTTTCTGGGTATTAAAATAATTTGCTCTTAATCTTGTTCTGTTAGTTTGAAATCAAAGGTTACTTTGGTTTTTTTGAAAATAAAATAATGAATTTTTCATGTTAAGATTCCTGGACTGACTTTGTCTTTTAAGAAACATTGAGAAAACATCTTACAGCTAGAGGCTTATGGTCTTACAGTATACATAGGGCTTAAATTCTTTGTATTAAATTGTCTCCTTTTTTCATAAGCTAGTGAGAAGGTCATTCTTTCACTGCCTTTAGAAACAGTGTGTGCTCACTGTATTATATACCAACATCTGGAACAGTGTGGGTTTAGTACAGCTTTTGGAGTTCGCATTTGAAAAGGTCATCCTTTCCTACAGGGACAGGCAGGAACTACAGACTCCTCAAGATCCTTGTACTGAGGTGAAGTGAAACTGGGAAAGGTCCTGATTGTTCTTAGTCTGATGGAACACTGAGTGTAGTGATCATATGCTTACTAATCATGTCTGTTTTGTGTGGGTGTATGAGGGTGAATTAAGCTGGATAATCATCCCTGCTACTTTTCAGCAGTTTAAGAGAAAGTTCAGTTTTGTCTGAACTTGTTTTGTCTTTGTTCTAAGGGAACAGCTGTCCTTAACATGATAAAGATTAACAACCCTATCCTCTTCCCATTGCTAGCTTGTGAGGAAAAAATAAGACTTTGGAACATGGGTAATTTGCAGACAAAGGCAAAGAACTATTTTAAGAAAAATATAAGACCATCATCACTTTCAGATTTACTCCATCAGGAACAGCATCAAGTGCTATTGGCGTGGCAGTCCTGCAAAAGTTGTACTGCCCTGTCGGAGTGCTATTTAGATGACTTACTCGATAGTATTAGCAGAGTGCAGTGTACTTCCTTAAGAACAGTAATTCTATATAGAAATCCTAGATCTAATAGTGTTAATCAATACAAGGGAAACTACGTCATTTCATTTTGGATGAAAATAATGTCTGTACAAGTACACAGTTACAGTTATTTTTAATTACTTTAGAAATGTAATTCACAGTTTTACAGACTATCAGTACTTGAAAGTCTTAAAAATACCAGCTTCATGCTGACCATGAAAAGGTACACATAATCAAAGTGCTATTAATGTGTTGGATAAAAACCTTTACCTGATTTTTGCAACTAGAAAAATTGCAAAAAAAGAAAATTCTGTAAGTTATTCAAGGATTTCTTTTTGTAAATCAAAATAAAGTGGGTGAGCAGGAGCTGCTGCTCCTCAAATTTCATTATAATAAGAATCTATTAAATATATATATGTAAAAAAACCAAAAAACAAACAAACAAAAAAAACCTTAAGAACACGGGGAAGGAAAGACTTAAGTCTGTAGCTTGCATCACTCTAAAGTGATTTTCTGACAAGTGTCCCTGCTTTGCCTAAACTTGACTTTTCTTCACGTGCAGGTTGAAATTTCACAAACCTTTTCTTTATAAACACATGCTTGACCCCCCCAAAAAAGCTAAGATGATGTTCCTTTTTTTTCCTGTTTTAAATTACTTGTCATACTCTCCATGAAGACTTGTTTTATAAAAAAGTACCAGGCCAGGACACAATTGTGAGAGTAATTTTTCCTTTCAGTTCTTTGAGCATCCTTGCCAAGCAGGCATGCATCATTCCTGATGTGTTCCTGCCATTGACAGCAAGGAGGATGTCACCGCATCTGCAAAAACAAGGGCAAATAAGAGAGAACAAATAAACAAAGTGACTTCTTATGTTAAATGTTTGCAAATGCCAAAGCATGTCCTTCAGCTGGGAGGAAGGGGTAGAAATGAGTATTAGTATTCCTTCTCTGGCTAACTACTGTTCGTGAATAAGGGAATAAAGCAGGTGAGATTACTTCACTGGTGGTTTTTTTTTCCTTACAATTAGATATATTTGAAAGAAAATAAGATATAGTTCTTTCAGATGGGAATGTTCTGTGTTCTGAACAAACTATGTTTTAAGACTTCTTAATTGATTTAAGTTTGCTCCATAATTCTGCATTTACTCTCTTAAATTGTATTGGTGTTTGCAGGGAAGGTTTTTGGTTGGTTGGGATTTGAGCTGGGGATGTGGGAAAGCTTCTCTGTGCTGGCATGCTTTGTTCTACCCCAGAGATCAAACTGGCTTACCTTTATACTTACCCAGACACTAGTGATTGCTAGACATCTGAAAATGTTCTACTGTGAAGGCAAATCTATTAAAGGTCAGGACACTTATGTCCTGTTTCCAGATCTATCAGAGTTAGTTCTGTATCAGTGAGCCCTTTTTCCCCCTACGCTGCCTTAATGAAAAGTAGTGTAAAAAAAAAACCTCAACAAAACAAAAACGCCCCCCAAACCAGAAATTAACTAGATGAAAGACTTACTTAAATGCTGCTTTTCATTAGATAGTTATAGTTACCTTATTCTGCCATCATTATATGCTGGTGTTCCCCCAACAATAGATTTGATAAAGAATGGTTTGTTTCCAGTATGTTCCTCATAACCTCCTACGATGCTGAAGCCAAGACTTCCAGATGTATTTCTTCTTAATACGATTTCTTTGCAGCTGTACAAATACCTGAAACAAACCAGTCCAATTAAATGTCTTACGGTTAACTTTAGATTCTGATGAATCATTAATGACAAATCTGCCTTTTCATATACCCATAGAGTGTTTTGAAGATGCAAAATAGCACCAAAGTTCCACTGTATTAGACACCTACACTTCCCTTCTGGTTTCGTAGTGCTGCTTTCCACAACCAGTTATCATGAAAGTAAAATTACTAGGTAATCTTGGGGTTAAAATACTGTGAAAGTGCAACTGGCATAGTTGCACTTGTAAGTGATGGAGAAAAACATTTAATTGAGACTGGATTTAGTATTTGTAAACCATCATTCCAGAAACTGTATTTCACTTACCTTATACAGTCCAGTGACTTGTTTTATCTTCCAGATAAGAGCCTGAATGTGATTAACTGTGTCAGAAGTGGTCAGGCATTTATTACGTTGGTGCATATTAAAACTAAATAGTTTCAAGGCCAATGAAATGAGCCAGAATTACAAAAATCACAGAGATGACACAAAGAAGAGTGTCAGTGAAAGGAGGGATCTTGAGCTTTTCTTGTCAAGTAACATGGTAAGGCGCAGCACGGAAGGCGAGAGAAGCCCATCCATGGCTTTGGAGTACCGAGACTGCTGTCAAGAAGATAGCCTGTCCTCACTCTGATTAACACAAGATTTTATGATAAGAGTGCTGAAATCTGCTCCTCCCTCTGTCTTTTGAATGGACTTTATGATACTGTAAGTTATGCTGTGTCAAAGCTTAGCTGACACAAGGAATAGGGGAAAGCAAGAGCAGTAAGGTTACTAGACTCTTAACACTTTGCCTATTGCTCTGAGTACATTAATTTCAATACCTGCTTTATTTCTTTTTTTTAACCAAGCATGAAAAAAAAATCATTAGTTAGAGAGCAACAGAAATGTTTGTCCTTAGTCCTTAACCCACTCATCGTTAGTGGTGTACCCAGGAATGATTGAAGAGCCTGAAAATCCTTTTGCTATTCCAAATCTGAAATTGTAGGCTGGTCTACAGCAAGCAACTGTTAAAAGCGCTGCTCAGAGAGTCTTTAAGTTTCTAAGAAATAGCTGACACGTCTTCTGTAGAAGGATAAATAATTTTATCTTAAAAAACAATATGTCTAGCTTTAAAAAAAAATCTATTAAGCAAATAATGCTTTTGCTGTATTTCACAGCAGGATTTTATAGTAATACTAGATTAGTCCCCTAGGACCTACAAATATTCACCTGCTGCCAGGATGGTAGGTATATAATATTTGGACAAGAATTCACTGGCTGCTAATGTCAGAAACAGGTGACATTTGCTTGTTTCCTCAGCAGCCAGGCATTATGACTTTACCATCTGTGGACTTCCTCAGTGTGCAAAATCACTTAAACCTTCTACATTTGATGGTACTTATCAAGGTCATGACCAAGCGATGCCAGGATTCAGCCATTAGTGCTATCATCACCTCATCTTGATTTTGGGGGACAGGGGGTCTCTGCTTCCCTGTGCTATGATCACTGCTTTGAAGAGGACACTGCTGAAATTGAAAGGTGATCAGCTTGATCCTAACACCATAGGAAAGAAATAGCCAAGCAGGTAAAGACACAAGAAGAAAACACAGTGAAGACAACGCGTACGTGCATTCTGTGCATACAGGCTGTAAGCTTAGCAGGTACACAGTCTCCATCAGTTCAGAAAGCAGAAATACATATTTGCTGTCAAAGCGTATGCTAAATTTAAGTAAAATAGACACAACGTATTAGCATTAGGATTGTTCTCTCTGCCAGAGCAGAGGAGACACGTGGGAATCAAGGAGCAGCAGAGTCCTGACTCCAACCCCCACGCAGCCCATCACCTCACCAAGGGGATGGAGTGTAACCTGCTGTGACAACAAGGCAATGGAGACCAGGAAGGCGGGAGGAGAGGTGCTGCAGTGAAGCTGAGTACGAGAAAAGGGGAGGAAAGGAGATTTCCCAAAGTGCTTACTTGCTTGTCATCTTTAGTTCCCAGTACCCAAATTGGAAGTGGGTAAATGTTTTACATTAAATTCCCCAAGGCTGTTTTGCCCGCAACAGTAATGAGTGAGTGATTTTCCTGTCTTTAGTTTGACCCATGAGTTTTCTCGCTCTTGTTCCCCTGTTTTATCTTGTCCTGCTGGGAATGTTGAGCTGTGCGGGTACTTGGTGTGACCAGGTCCAACCCATCATACTAGAGATTGACCAGGTCCAACCCATAGCTAGAGATTGACTTTTGACAGAATAGGAGTGGCTAGGTGCTGTTTATGCTTTTAAATTGATGTTTCCTTATCTCCATCCTATGGGATAGAGGGTATAAACAGGGCAGTGCACCATCCATCAGTGAGTCATTAGTGCTGTCAGAAATGGGAAAAGGATGCTGGGAGGCAGGGTGTGCAGTGCTGAGCTGCCTGTAAGGCAGGTGCTGCTTGCTCCAAGCAGTTCAGTACACAAGCAGAGATGCCTGCTCTGGCTGAGCAAAGAGCAGCCCAAAGGGAGGGAGTTCATTTGGGGCTGTTTATGGCTGTGTGGTAATAAAGACAAACTAGAAAGCACCACAGAGAGAAAATGAAATAAGTACTTGCGTCATCTGAAGATGCTTAGTGTTTTTGAGTAGATTACTTCTCTGCTGTAACAAAAGCCCCAATCTGTGTGTTTTGACCCAGTTAACCTGCCATAACCCATTAAAAGCAAGTGGTCCAAGGAGAAGCGTTTTCTCCCTTGGAAGAGAGCAGCTCCCAGTTTTCTGCTTCTATCTGTAAATACTCCAAAAGCTGAGGAGGAGGAGTAATTTATGTGTGAACTTGCCTCAGATTCAAGACTTGAGGATAAACAGTGTCTAGACACAGGGTCCTGTCATAAGAAATACTACAACTGAGCAGCAGTTACTGATGCAAGAGGAATTTAAAAATGCCTGTTTTCAAGTGGTTAAATACAATTCCCTGCCACTTCACACAAAGCGTGAGTAGCCTTATGCTCTGGGAATCAAAACCAGCATGACTCGAGGAGGACTTCAGCAATAACAGGTATGAAAAGCATGACTCCCTCCCTCTGCCCCATTACAGTAGACAACTGTCAGTGGAGTACACTAATATTTGAGAATTACTCCCATCAGACCCCTACAGCCTGAATGGAGTTAATTTGGGGGAGTTTCTGTCCTAGTTCCATGTTTTACATCCAGTTCTGCCCCTGGTTTGCAGAATGACTTTGGCCACCTCCTGTCTTTCTCATCTCACTTTGCAGATGAAGAAAAGGACTCGTGTGAAGTACTTATGTTTGTAAATGTTATGACAGGATGATCTATAAAGTATTTTTAAGTGCTAGCTGGGGGGAGGAAATGTGAGGAGAGCAAAGAAAGGAGAGCAGGAAAACAAGCAAGAGTAGAAGAAACATCACGAGGCTGGGGAAACACTTTTCACCAGCTGCTCCACGTTATTTTCTTTGTGCATGCTTCACAACAACATTTCCCTCCAACAATAAAGGAGACCTGTCTTCCTCAACAAGAAACAATTAGATTAACTACCCTGAAATAAGTCTTCAGGCAGGAATACTTAAGGTCCTGCATCACTGCTTCCTCCCTACGCCCAGCCCGCAGCCCCTCCGCACACATGCGGTCCAAGTTTTGACAGATGTCAGATGCACATGTGTGTCTATTTTATAACCACCACATATTGGATTGTACTACAGAAAGAACAGAGGAGTTGTTTATGTACTATCAGGCCATATAAAAGTGACCAAGGCCAATTTTAAGATCTCACAAGAAAAGGGACAGGGTTTAAGTGAGATCCACAAATGTTAAATTATGCAAGACAGTTTTAGCAAGGCTATGAGCTTTGGAGCGAGGAGTCAGATAACCTGTCTGATTTATGCTGCTGCTGTCTTGATCCTGAAAAATAGTGTAATTCCCTAACTCAGTAGTTGTGCCTCTTGTCTGTGCCTATCACTCTACTGTGTATGCAGTCCTTGGGAAAGGGGCAAGTTCTGTGCTAGTACGGAGAATTAGGCATTTACAGTACACCAGCCTCAGAAGTGAGGAAGGCACACTTAATCATGTAGCTATTATTAATGTTAGCCTGTTTTCTACTTCATAAGTCATGGACAGAGCGCTGTAGACATCCTCTAGTGTTTAGCTCAATTCAACACATTTTATGGGACCATTCTTCACGGGACTTTCATCAAAACACCATATTTTTTGAACATGGAAGGAAAGCCTCTCCCCTCTCAGTTTCCTGAGCTCAAATGTCCTGCTGTAAGCCACGATGTCAGGCTCCCCACCTTGTTGCTGTGAACAGATACTCACACTGCACTGCCATGGCTTGTCTGGAGTCACACCTTTCCCTTTTCGATAGAATTTAAAGGATCCACATTCCAGCCACCTCTCTTTTAATCGTTCCTGTTCCTGGCCCACCAGCATCACCCCCTTTTCTGTTTTTTTTTTCAGTTTTCCTTACCTAGGTGCTTCCCATCCTGCCCATCTTTCCAAATATCTTGCATGATCTTTTATAGCTGTGATTTTGACATTCCTGTTTTTCCAACAGCTGTACCAAACATTAGACTTGAATGCCTTGGAGCAGTCCCTCTGGTAAATGGTATGGCTTTACTAATGTCATCACTGTTTTACTTAAGGTTGGTGAATCTTCACCATTTTGCCCCATAACTGCACATCAGGCACCTGTGCCAAGATGGACCTGTCAGACTTGTATTTGGACAGATAATAATTTTCTGTAGCAGCCTAAACAGCATCACGAGACTGTTGGCAATACCTTGAGATCTAGTGGGATGTGGTCCTTGCCAAAAGCAAAGTGAAAGCCAGATAGGGAAAGGTTAAATGCTCAGAGTGGAGGGAAATGACTTAATGTGATACATGTCCTAGTGAGAGAACTTGTTGAAGGATGTCTGGTGCGGGCCCTGGAGAACCAGTACAATAGTAAGAGAGTAAGCACACTCAAGCCAGGGAAGACTGAAGGGTCTGATAATACCTAATGAGCAAACCCAAACCTGATTCTAGCACCCCTACTCAACCAACAAGCTACTAATAAGGATGCAGTGCACCTTTGTTACTGTCACATCTAATCACTGGTGGTGGGAATGGCTTCACACATTGCAGCCTTTGGAGGTGGAGAGTAGAGCTTAGAGATAGCTTTTAAAATGGGAAAAAACACTTTTTCTTCCCAAATTTCAAAGCAGAACTGACTGATGTGAACCCTGGGTGTAAGTCTGCAGTACTGTGGAGCTCTGTCCTTCATCTCCATCACCTTGCTGAGGACATGGGGACTTCAGGCAGCAGTAGGTAGAAGGTGATGACCAAGCAGCTCAGGTTTTCTATACAGCACAACAAAGGTGGAGTTAGGCTAGGCAGGGTGCAATTGTTTTAGCCCATCTGGCAATGGCTGTTGATTGCAGGCAAGACTCAGCATTGCAGATTGCAGCACCTATAAGGCCTCCAGCCTGCTTTCTTTCTCTCTGCTGGGAGCATTTCCTGTACTACAGTGCTTTCATGTTGGTGCATAGC